AAGCTTTAAATTTGACGAGGCATAATAATCAGCATAAAATTTTAGTAGTTACTATAAACCTCTTGAAATTACATACTACAACAACCAAAAGAAAATTTATGTTTGCAGATATAATGTTCCTCATCTGTGCAGGCCTATTGAGCTGAAGCAATGTTAGCCTTTTGAACTTACCCATCGCTACTACGAAAATTTAATATCAATTTTTACTACACTGTCAATGTCCTTTTACAAAATATCAGTGTCAATTACACAATTTTACATAAATTTAATATCACTATTGATAGGAAGATAGTAATCAAAAAGCATTATTCAAAAAAAGGATTTTGAATTAGAGTCTAAAAATTCCTACTATGATGATAAATAAATTTATTAAAGGGGTTGCTTTTCAGTAAGTTGATTTGGTACTTATATTATATACGCAATTCATAAAGAAATACTAACTACAATCAGAAGTGAAAACAGTGGCTACAAAATAGTGTTAGTGCATTTAATTAAAGTCCATAAATGTTAGTACCAGATCTTTTAAAACAATTTTGATAGATTAATTTCAGTATAAGAATATTTATCATTAAAATGTCTAGCTGTATCACTATGCTTTAATTTTAAAATGATCACAATTTTATTACTATGATTTGCATGGCATGCATGTTTATGATTTTATTTCAGCTAGGTATGAAATAATATGTAAGCAGACGCTTTGTGAATAGCCCAAAGGTGATTTCTCACTACATAAGTCTAAAATAATACAATAACAAAAAGAAAACTGTGTCAAACTGAATGCATGTAAGACAGCTGCTGTATGCAACACGTATGAAAATGTATTATTCAAACAATTGTATGCATTCAATATATTTAACCACTATTTTATATTCATTAATAATAATTAAACGTTACTAATGAACGGATAATATTTTCTACCCAAATTACTATTAAGCTCTAATGTCAAATTATTTACATTATACATGCTGACGCCATGTTGATTTCTACGGCTCCTTGGAGCCCTACATTGCGCCCATTTTAATAAAAGTAAATCTATTTTTAACTTACCCTCAATTCACGTAAATATTTCAATTTACACCAAAGTATTTGAGTAAAATTAGCAAAATAATTCCAAGTTCGCGATGCAGAACCTTGCAGAATGCTTCTTCGCAATAAAGGCCCGAACATCGATCCAAATGCCAGACACCTTTATTGGTTGGTTGGTTGAATTGCGATGGCGTAAATCAAGAACCGTGTTTTTTTTCGCTCTGTCAAAATAAATACTAATTAGATAAATAACGAATCCAGTATTATATTTTAAAGTCTATCCAGTCGATAAGTATTTTTATTTACATCTTGTGTGATAAAAATTATATAAAACAGCATAATATTTAAATAAAATATCCAATAACATAAAAAAATATAATAAGAGATAGTAACGTCATCTAGTAAACGAATAAAGAAACTTAGTAATACACAAGTAGTGGTACCAACCGAAAGAAAATAAGGACTGCGTTCAGAAATTTTCGGAAAGTTTTTATTTCTAATTATTTTTTTTTTAATTTAATTCATCCATTTGTGATTCTGTATACTATTAATTATTATTTGAGTTATCTAAAATACGGGTTACATGTTATAATTGTTAGCTCAGTACATTATAAGCTTACCCCCCCTTGTTCATAAAAAAGAAAATCTTCTAAATTCTAGTAGGTACGGTAATATAATTTTGCTTTGACCAAAAAGTATTTACGACATCATTAGGTAAAAATATAATTATTTAGTAATAGGAATTTATGTCTAGCAATATACCCTATCAGAATGACCTCCATACGGTTCACGGCCCTCTTAAACAATCATAGTTAATAGTGCAAGGAAGGTAACAAAAGAACGGTTAAATTCTATTATAACAATCCCCATAGATAAAAATCTTTTTCCCCCAGAACTAAGATGTTCTGTTTCTATATCCTATATTTTCACAGGTATATTTCCTTCAAACTGCAAGATGTTTATAAGCACGTCTGTTTCAGTGGCAGCGACACGAGATGGTGAGACGAGTGAACAAATGAATTCAATCGAATTAAATTTGTAGAAATTCTCGTGCTATTAATTACCAGTAAGCATTTATTTTATTTTTAACGGGTGAGAATAGAATTATAACCCTACCTGCGCTAACTTAGTTAATTTTTGTGGAATTCGTCACGATAGGCTAATTGACCTGCTTTCATTCTCACCTATCATCCCTCACTGGTGCCCCGCCAGCATATACCGATAACTCTCGCGGGGTTACGATTCTATTATCATCTATTAAAAAAAACCACCTAGTACTGGTACCGAGGGGAAAGGGATTGTTAGTAATGGGATGTAATGGCTCCATTGCTAGCAATATACCCTACCAGGTCAACCTCCACGCGGATTCCCCTGGAAATTATTGTGACTAAATATTATTGAATTCGTCACGATGGGCCAACTGATTTGCTTTCATCCTCTTTTATCATCTCTCACTGGTGCTCCGCCAATGTACACCGATAGCACAGGCGGGGTTACCATATCATATTCATCCATAAAAAAGGTACTGATATCCATGGCGCGGTACAAGTACATGTAGAAAGCATGTTCGTTGGTGCATTATGGTAAATATAAAAAGAGTTAACCACCACGGCTCTTACGTGGTGGGCGTTTTGATGGAGTCGGACCGGATGGATAGACGAGGACCTGTTTTTTGATTTGTGAAAATGGTATGGTAACCCCGCCTGCGCTAACGGGATACGCTGGCGGAGCACCAGTGAAGGGTGATAGATGAGAATGAAAACAGGCCAGTTAGCCCATCATGATGAATTCATCAGGAATTAACCATGATAGTTTCCAGGGGGAACCGCGAGGAGGTCGACCTGGTTGGGCATTTTGCTAGCAATGGGATTCTCAGTCTCCATTACTAACAATCCCTTTTCCCCCCGACGAGGACCTGTTAGAACTCATTACTAACAATCTCTTTTCCCCCATCAGTTTTATTATGTTGGCAACAAAAACAAAATTGTAATCATAAATTTTATGTCATAATCACTCAGCTATGAGCCTGATTAACAAACATTTTGTTAAACGCCTCCAATTCATTAACTTGCAATTATTGGCGAGTGCCTTTTTTTATTTGTTTAACTTTATATATTATTTTCTTTCGTAATTCTAGTTACTTTAAAGGTTAGTTTGAAGCATTTATAATTTGTATTTTTCTGTCAGTGATAGTAAAACTTTTGAGAAAATAAATATCTATAGCCATACGTAATATTATATTACTAGCTTTTACCAGCGCCTTCATCCGTGGGGCCGAAAGTTCTCTGTAGTAACGTGTATACAAAATTTCATAGTGATTGGTGAAGCCGTTAAAGCGCTATATGGTAACAAAGAAATTCACTTTCACATTTTTAATATTAGTACATATTATACATAAGAAATAGCTGTGTCGTCCCGGCATAGAATAGGTCACCGCTTTCTTTCCTGTGGGTGTCGTAAGAGGCGACTAAGAGAGTGCGAGGCATAGACAGCAGCGTCTCTCTTAAAACATATCCTAACTGCAGTTGCCAATTCGCCTGTCAAGCGTGGCAACTACTGACAAAACCCCCAAGGGTGAGGCTTATGTTCAGCAGTGAACGGTTAAAGGCTGATTTGATAATAATAATGATGATACATAAGAAAATAAAATGGTTAAGGTACTTACTTACTTTAACGATTTTTGTACTATTTGTACGTATTAACACTTTTTGAATCTAACAAAAATAATAATTATTCAAGTCTTTCTAAATGCCTGCAAACTATCAAATGTTAGAGTGCACTGAACTAAATTAGCCTAGGTATTCTGTGATCTATGTGAGTATAAGATAACACTGTTTGCTTATCAGACCTAAATATTATGAAGTTTGGACTTTATGGCAGTCTTAAAAGAGCCTCCACTATATTGTTCATTATTCTAGTTTCTGAATTCTGACATTTTATTTATCTAACACTGTTAACATTAGCACTTGTAATTATACAGACAGGTATATAACTAATTGTAATCCGCGGCTTTCCCCGTGTGAACTAGGATAAAAAAAAATATATATAATGTACTTACAAAACATTCAAAACCTTATGTAATATCCGAATATCTTCATAAACTTTCACATTTATTAGTAACACTATATATTTTTTTTGTGTTTAATTTTTCTATTGAACAAAAAAGTGTATCAAGCACTATGCCACAGATAATATATATAAGCTACTATCGTATCTATGGTATAATTATGTTCCTCGAATAACATAACACGGGGAATATTAATCATAAGCATATTAGTATATTTGATAAATATTCAAAAATGATTTATACTGATTAATAATAAATGTTAAATAAATAAATAAATACCCCAGGCCCGTGTTATTGAATTTAAAAAATACATATAGATATATAATATGATAAGATAACATGTAATAATTCTACGTTACAATAATAATTGAATTGCATTGAAATCTTTATCTAAATTATTGCATATAAAGAGTCGAAATAGAAGGCCGTCAGTCTATTTGTCAATTTATTACTTTAAAAGAAAATAGGTATAATACCTTACAATACGGATTTTACTGAAATCGGTAATGTTTTATCGGCGTTCGGCTCCTATTCATACAATGGTGGTCTTGTTTACCAGAAAACCCCTAGATGGTGTTAATATCACGTTACTATATACAATAATGAAAATATTATAATATTATTATTTTCTTCTCTTCAATTTATTTTCATGGTAAAATAAACGCCGAATAAATAACAGTCACAGCTAGTGAGAGGTCTAAAATAATATTGAAATTCATGCAAGAGACTTTCATTACGGCTAAAATACGTTTATTGAGGAGTGAAAGTGTGTGATTGTAAGCGAGGGTTCGTTCCGACCTTCTGGCGGGAATCAGCTGATCGGGTTTGCGCAGTGCGCAAATCTGCGGGGCTAGGGGCGAAGGGTGCGCAAAGCAGCCGGGGCGCGCGGCGGCACCCGGCCAGCCGGCCAGTCGCGCGCTCTCGCGGCCCGCCGCCCAAGCCCTGTTCAGCCGCGCTCCGACGCCGCATCGCTGGAGCGGGCCGCGCGGCGGTATTCACACACACCAGCACCGACAACTCTAACAGAAAACCTGCTAACCGAACTGTCGCACTTGTACCGCTGCCCCAGTCAATGCTGTAGCTGTGATATTTGTACAAATCTGACCGAAGCCTGTCGGCCATGCGGGCAAAGAACCCCCCATCGGAGAGCACCGCGCCGCAGCCTCCCACTCTTACGTGCCGCGAAATCGCTAGCACACTATTATGAGGGACGTTCAGAGCGTACCTGATCCATGTACAAATATGTTCGATATGTCAATTCAAGAAGTGAACGGTAAAGGACCTAAAAAGAGGAAAAAGTCGTTAGAGCGTATCTGTGATAATGAGGGACGGGAACGTTCCGATTTAAATGCGAGTGAGTCTGAAATAATCGAAGGGAAGAATGGAGAAATGGTCGAGAAGTCGGTGGGTGGGTGTAGCGGCGGTGGAAGCGGCGGTGGCGGCGGCAACGGCGTTGAGCTGCTGCACTGGCGCGACATGCCGCAGCACTTACAGTTCAATCCGTACGTGCTGACCGGCTACCGCCCGCTGCAGGGATGGGGTGGATGTGTCGCCAGCCTCTTTTACTTCCACAACGAGACCATCAATATACTTACACATGGTAATTAATAATATACAATTATGTAATTATAACGATATATTTGTAATGGTAAATTATATTCTCGCAAAAATGCCAAAAGCTAAGAGACATATAAAGTTATAATCACGGCAATAGGCCTGCAGATTGTAACATGCTTTTTACTTTTCTCAGTGATTATAATTCTTTGTTACGACCTGTTGTAAAGGTATCTATTATTTATATATAAAAAAAAAATATTGCATAATTCTATAACCCAGAAAATCTGAAATTAAAAGAACCAGTAAAATTTACTTAATATAGGACAATTCGTACACATTTTTTTTACTCTATGGAGTATTGGACCATTAACCTCTTAAGTGCAATAATTAATTTATTTTTTATCAAGTTTTTGATTTTACTATAAAATAGTGTTGTTGGACTATTACGAGTTTACAGTACTTAATATATAAAAGAGAGAAATGATTAGAGTTCTTGATTTCTATTCATAAAGCATGAATGAATGAAAGAAAGCCCCTTTATTGTTGCCCAGAAAGAATGATACAGATTACATAAGTTACATATATACAAAAAAATCTTAGTTACAAGTAGCAAAGTAAAGAAGCAACAATGGATGGCCTAATAATTATAGCTATATAATTATAATGTGATAGACAAATTAAACAATAGAAGCATGCAAATAAAATTCATTTAAAGCCTTAAGATGGCTTTTTACCATCATGATAATAAAAAGTTCGTGACTAGTTGCAATTACAATCAATCTCAATGTCTCTTCCAAAGGTTCCAATTTCAATTTCTTTTTTAAATTTTAAAATTTAAAATACCTGTTTTATCTTGTATTTAACAAAATTAAGCACTGGCTGGAAAGTAATCTTAGTCACAGGGACTAGCAGTCCCTTTTAGTTGTAATACACTCTGTTAGATCATCCTCCATGGAAACTACAGTGGTCAGCTTGATGAATATTAATGGATCAACTGAACTGACCTAACCTCTTCCTTATTTATCATCTCTCACTGGTATCCCGCCTGTGGAAAGTAAACAAATAACGAAAGCAGGGTTATCGTCAATTGAAAAATAGTCAAACAGCTTTCTGGTTATGGTGACAGCATTACTGTCAATGACTTATCTAACTGTATTGATGAAAGTACTAACAATTACGCATTAAATATTAAGCAGTATACTATCCTAACACCAGGGGATGGATTATCAAGACCCCGGGTACATCATAATGGCAAAAAAATTTGCACCTAAGTAAACTAAATAATCATACCAATAAACATCAGGCGTTTATATATATTTATTGATTTTAGAAGAAAAAGGACAATTTTTTTTATTTATTATTATATTATATTTAATTTATTAACAAAGAAAGATATATCTCATCTTTTTGATTAATGACAGCCATTAGCGTATTTAAAATTATTTTCCATAGAGGCCTGGCCTCTTAAAAAGGCACATATAATGTGTTTGTATTGTCAAATATGGTTAAAATTTTCTTTTGCATCCTAGAGTGAGCACCATACAATTCTGTGCCAATTCTGGCCCACTCAGCCTTTCTTAATACGCCTATGACGATAGCTACGTAACACTGTTCTAGACTCAGCGAATTTCAGACTTGTAGCTTTAAGCTACAAGTGACTCGCCTTTAATTAGTCTTCTTAAACCGTAGGTGATGAAATCCTGGTAGACAACCCGGTGAGCTGTTTTATGCTACAAGTGAGAATACTCCATGTAAGAAAAATTTTAGCTAGAATAATATAAAAAACTTGGTCATTCTATGCCGTATGGTTCCGGCATAAATTGGGAAACCCTTTACCTTCAGCAGTAGATAGATAAGGGCTGAAATAATACTATAAAAACTTAATATCGGGCAATTTTTATTTAGGTAGATATACTTATTAGAGATTTCATTCAAATTATATTATAAAACAGAAATTACAAACATTAATATAAAAATTATCATATATCTTTATGGCATAATATGCCATATAGTAGAATCTGATAAAAATAGGCAGTCAATCAAGTGAAAGGTTTTAAAAAAACTCGCGTACGTCATTAGTAACCCATTATTGAACAGTGGGTCAGAACATTACTTTGTTGAATGCTGCACTCTATAAAAATATAACAACAAAACCACTTATCCTCTTTACATTTAACAATTAAACTCGCGATAATCCATGGCTTTGCCTGTGTGGATTAGGATAAAAAATAACGTAGGATATGTGTTGATCCAGGGGGATTGAGGATGGGTTACTGTTATCTCAATCTATGGGGTTTGGAGTAGGTAATCCTGTATTATGGGGAGTTCCACATATTCGTACATATATTCCACATACCATTACCCAAGAAGTAAAGGTATGCAGAGACTGTTTCTTTATTAAAAAAAGTATATAGACTATCTATGGATAGCCATATTTTTTTTATTTCAAATCAATACTACGCCAATTTCATTTCAAATCAAACGGAGCGTGTTTGAGAGTCATTAACTTACATAATTTAAAAAAAAATTGTAATATATTTATAACACATATTAGTAGGATACTACTACTATGTAATAGTAGATACTATTTATGATACTATTCAATAGTACAGTTGAATATTTGGAAAAAGACAGTCTTTGCCCGTAGTAGGTAAGGAAACGATAAAGTAGAAACAAGTAATTTTACCGCCCCCCAAAATATTTTTTTAATTCAAACTATATTCTTTAGTAAATAAATATAATAAAGTGGCAACTGGTAAACAATTTATTCGTTTTCAAATATATACCAGTACAATAAGCCAGCATGGAAAGGAATACGGTGAACATCCAATATGGAACATTCGTATCCAAACGATCTGACAGAAAATTGGGAAAGAACATAATGGCAACAGAATACATGAGAAACCTCACTATCTATATTTACGAAATCAATCGAATTTCTTCAATTGTCTATTGAGAGCTGGGGAATTGTCTATTGAGCTATAGAAAGATGAGCCTAATGCTACCACAGATAGTTTTATTTAGAATTTATATATTTTTGCACTAGTATATTGTCGTAGTTGGCATCTTGACGACAACTAATGGACAATTTTTTTTTATCACTCTAGTCTATGGATGCTTATATTATATATGCTTAATACCAGGTATGTTACGCATTGCCGACATAATAATCTATAACTCTTCCTAGGGATGAATGATGTATGTAGACTTTGACATTGTGTAAATGAACTTTGCAATATTGTGTTGGGTTTTTTTTTTTGATGGGTAAAAATGGGTATGATTACCCCGCCTGCGCTAACAGGATACGCTGGCGGAGCACCAGTGAAGGGTGATAGATGAGAATGAAAACAAGCCAGTTTGCCTATCACGATGAAATCATCAGGAATTAACTATGATTGTTTCCAGGAAGAACTGCGAGGAGCTCGACCTGGTTGGGTATATTGCTAGCAATGGGATTCTCAGTCTCCATTACTAACAATCCCTTTCTCCCCAAATATATTGTGTTGGGTTAAAACTGCATAATTGTGATACAAACTTTAATTATAATCTAATATACATATACTTATACATTCACTAGCTTTTAGTTGCGACTTTATCCGCATAATCTGGATTGGCCATTAAAAAAATAGCTTATAACTTTCTCTATGCTACATTTATACATATATAGTACGTATATACCAAATTTTATAATAATTGGTTAAATCATTAAGACACTAATAGGTAACAAACAAACTCACTTTCACATTTATAATATTAGTAAGGGTTTGGAGTAAGGATCCGAAACCATGGCGAAATACCTTCATAAGTAAATTACATTATTCGGAAACGTTCATATTACATACAGACACAAGTATAACATTTCCCTCCATACCTTTACCCAAGTTTAATAGCAGTTATTGCCCACGAATTTCTACTAATACTTACTTCTACACTATGGAAATATTGTCACAAATTTTTTGAACATTCTGAAATAAATTAATGTTGCCATCCAAGTATTGTATTGTAAAATTTTTATTGTACATAATTTATATTGGACACATAAAAAGATTTAAAAAACAATGGCAGACTTAGCCCATCTTTTTCAGTCAACCTTTGAAAAGCTGAAAGAAAACTATAAAATGTTTAAGGGTAGAAACCATACACCTACAGATAAAACTCAATAATAGCTATTTATGTATGATTTTATTACGCCAGACCGGATCGCTAGTAAATAATATAAAAACTTTATACATGTGTGTGATTAAATTGTAATTTATTATAAGTTTTATAGTTTGCCAATTTTTATTTAAATCAATCCAGTAAATTCATAAAATAATAAAAATCATAATGTTTTGAGCTCCATATAGATTCTGTAATAATTCACTTTAAAAATGTATACCAAAAATAGGATCATAATAATTTGAAAAGTGTAGATAGAATACACCGACAACCCATGTCTATATGCGGTCTCTATAGTATATATTTATACAAGATACATAGTATAACATATATATTATATATTTGTAAATCCTTACTGGAAATCTTTTGATGTTTAGCTAGTTGGGTGAAACGGCAAGTAAAGGGATGCGGTAACAGCCCTAAGGCTAATACAAGCAGACTATTTGGGTCCGCCTAGGTCAATAAACAAACGGATGGATAAACCCGGGCCCACCTCGACAGAGGCCGATTAAGTTTGCCATAAGCTGACCTTAGTGCAAAATTAATGTTCTCTATTTAGTATGTCACGCAAAGAATAACATTCGAGAGCGTTTCTAATATTAGGTTTACAAAAACATTTTACTTAATAAATAACTTCCTATTCCACCACAGGCTTCGTACAAGTCTTTTACATGAATACCTCTGAAACACAGACACAGACTTCATACTGGTTAGTCGATTAGGTATTATTTATATATTTATTTATAGTATCGCCAACATAAGATAGTACTTTATATTATTCTCAATTTCGTGTTCAAAATAATATAATAATAAAAATACTATATGTATTTTATATATGTATAAGTTAAATTTGTTATTTATATATATATTTATTTGTTTATATAT